GCAATGAATATCTTAAGTGCTTTGACAAAAAATCCATAAAAAATGTCATCTGTGGAAGCCGTGGCGCTGTTAAAAGCACGACCACTCATTTTAGCCGGCCCGGCTAAAATAACTGGATGGTCTACCTGCCTGTCAGCCGTGCACAAACTTATCTCGTGCCCTCATTGGTCATGTGCGCGTTCGTGTGTGTTGAAGGAGGGGCTCTGTAAGGAAGTGGCAGATTTTTTCCGGTTGTGTATTTTAGCGCACTCGAGCTGGTTTCTCCAAAATTACGTAACCCACCTTTAAGTACTGTTAATATCTTCACATAAAATTCTGAGGTTTTTCATTTCACTCCTCTTTTAGCTGACATTTAATAAATGCAGGTACATTTTTAGCAGCTATTCATACTAAATCAGTTGTCCCTCCCCCTGGTGCCAGGACCAACAGATCCATCTTTAGGCTCCGCAGCCCTGAACCCCCATAAGGCTTTGCAGTCTTGCCATGCTGTCCGTTGAAAGCCAGTTAGCTAGAAAGCTGGACTTCAAGGACTTGATCATTGACTTTGCCTGTAACCCCCTGATCCCACCGGAAGCGTCTGCGCTGCGCTGCGCTGCGGCTGTGCCGCGCTGCGACCTCTTCCTGCGTCATAACCCAACAGGCGCGTTTCAAAACGTTGCGGAAGCGGAGCGTCGTGTGTGCAGCCTCGCAGTTGTTGTTGATTTTGGAATATTTCCTGGACATTTGTACTTCTACAAGTAAGTAGGCTACGTAGTTAAATGGTTTTAGTTTGTGTCTGTTTAAATCGTGTTTATTGTTGTTATTTCCTATTTTCTTGTGTTGTAGACTACAGACACAGTTAATAATAATTGTAATATTCCAGTTATAAACGACATGAATCAAAGATGTGTTGCTGTATTTTAGTGGTAAAAAAATATGCATTCATCATCATAATTATTCTATATATATATAATTTACAGTGCCTGTAAACCGGAGGAGAACGCTGGCATNGTGCAAGTAGGGTCTTTTAATAACCACTACAGCAAACCGACAGGTTCAGTCGAGTCTGCCCACTACTTTTTAGTGGGGGAACAGAGGCAGAGAAACGCCGGACCAACTGCGGGCGGGGGCCCGACGTGTTTTGGCCGGAGGAAGGGGGGGAGGGGGTGGGAGCTCGATGCGAGAGAAGTGTCATCCTCTTGGTACGGGTCGCAAAAGGGAGGCCAAATGTCCGGTGACATTTCAATTAGTGATGCATCATGCCCGGATGGAGCGGTTAGTTAAATAGGCGTTGCTAGGGGCGTTACGTATAAAAGGGAAATGGTGATTGTTATGTGGGGTGTGTAGAGGAGACTAGAGTACTAGGCAGTATAATGATTGGACCGTGGTGATATGGTTAAGTGCAATAATGTGGGACGACGAGACATCAGGGATGTTGTGTTGTTTTTCGATGCCTTTATTGTTTGTTAGTTTGGCTGCTGAGAATGTTGTCGTCGTGGTGTTGTATTTGGTATGAGATGTGATGCGGATCGGGATCTGTCCATGTGTTGACAGGGTCCTTTGGTGAATTGGGAAGGGTTTTAGTTGTTTGTTGACCCCGCTCCGTGGAGCCGTGTGTGCTTGCGCGAGGGCGTGAGGAACGTTCCACTTCCTAGCCTGCGCTGCGCTGCGCCGCGTCAAAAATAGGATTCATCCTATATTTTAGAAATTCCTTGCGGCGAGGAGCTTCTGGGACGCTTCGAGCCGCGGCGCAGCGCGGCGCAGCGCGGCGCAGCGGGTCTGGTGGAATAGCACCGATTGACTAGAGTGGCCGCGATCGCTAAAAACGCCGCAGGCGCAGCGCAGACGCTTCCGGTGGGATCAGGGGGTAAGAGCATGTGATGAAGTAGAAAGGGATCAATACACAGAGAAAAAGGACCATTGTGTCCCTAGACTGTGAAATGGATTGAGAGGAGCTTTATACACTCGTAATCTTACAAAGAATGCCGGCTATTTAAAAGTTATAAAGGGGATTTCCTGCATTCTTGGTGTTTTTATGGAATATCCTGCATCATGACTACTAGATCGTATGTGAACAAATAAAGCAAACATTCCAGTTGTTCTGCCTGGCTCTTCAGGTGCAGCCAAAAGATGGTCATCTTAGCCCAGAAACTGCAGAATGAAATGAATGTCTCATCCAACTTTTGTTAAGAAAGCTAATTTGCATATTTATCCAAATATTGAACTACCCTCTTAAACTGTTTCTGCATGCACTTAATCAAATCCAATTCAATGTCTCATAACTGACTGTCCATCAAGTTATTACACCTTCTTAAATAAACTCAGTTACCAGTTTATTATGTACACCGAGCTACGGTCCTGTAATGAATCCTCCTTCCTGATGTCTAATGTGAAGTTTTTAACAATTCCCCAAGTTCTGATCTATCACTGTAATCAAGTTTTTCTTGTGTGCATGTTAACATTTCTGATGGATTACAAAATCCCATTTCAGTCAGCATAGCTTCACAAATAGCTAGAATGTCTAATCAACATCCTCAAATGTCTATTTCACTATTCTTGTTAGGTGCTCAGTAAGTGAAGGCATCCAAGTGGATTGCTAACCAAAGGAACCCATGGAGGGTAAAAGCTCAGGACCTTCATGCTCTGGCCTCAATCTGGTAGCACACCCACGGGCAAAAAGCAAAGTCTGGAAATACTTTGGCTTCGACACAGATGCAGATGGCTGCATTCTGCACTGGAAACGAATATACTGTCGAGTATGTATGAGTCAAATAGCTTACTCTGGAAACACGTCCAATCTTTCGTACCACCTTGAGAAGAACCACCCTGTGGAGTTCAGTGAGTTTGTGAAGAGCAACACGGATCAGATGCGCGAGGCGTTTGCCACAGCATTCTCCAGGATAAAGACCGAGCCTACAGGAACACACGTTCAGCAACCATCCCAGGACACCAACCTAAGGCAGAACCTAAACTATGAAAACAGACGACATAATGATCTGACAATAGCTGTCATCAACTTCATCTGCGAGGGGTTGTACCCTGTGTCTGTAGTGGAAGAGCCTACTTTCAAGACCTTGATGAGCACCGTCGATCCTGGATACTCTCCACCGAGCAAGAGCGATCTGGCACTGAAGATGCTTCCTCAGATGTACTGCCGAACCCGGGACATGGTGTTTAATGAGCTTGCTGGGGTTCTGAATTGTGGGGTCACTACAGACCTCTGGCAAAGCCAAACCCAGAACAGGACATACATTTCCCTCTCAATGCATTCAGTTAATCACAACAATGCAACTGGTTTCTCCATGACCAACAAGTGCCTTAAAACGTTTGAAGTGCAGGACGACAACACAGCTGAGAACATCACCAGAGCGATGTATGAAACTTTTGTTGAATGGGGGATAACTCATAAAGTCATTGGGGCCAACACAAATGGTTCTGTGGACATAGTGAAAGCATGCTCTCTCCTGGAGCTGTCAGTAGAAATGCCTTGCCTTGGACACACCGTCAATCGCGCCCTGGATGAAGCGCTCCAGCTGCCGCGAGTCGACAGCTTTTTGGGAAGTTGCCGCAAACTTGTTGATCACTTTAGAGAACCGACAATCTACCTGCTGAGGGAGAGGCAGAAGCAGCATGGCCTCGCTCAATGCCCACTCATCACAGACAGGGGCAGGTCTTGGTTGGCCACGTTGGCGATGCTACAAAGACTGAAGGAGCAACAGGTGGCTGTAACTGCAACACTGATCGAGGGCTCCAGCAGCCATCATTTCAGCTTCGATGGCCCTGACTGGACCTTTTTAGAGGGCTTGATTGAAGTGCTCCAGCCTTTTAAAGTAGTGGCAAATATGTTCACTTCCTGCAGGTACCCAACCATTAGCATGGTCAGGCCGGTGCTTCATATGTTGTTGAACACCACCCTTAAGGTCAACGAAGGGGACCTCAAAGAGATCGGCATGGCCAAAGAAGTCATAGCAAAGGTCCTATCAAGCACTTATTCACAGAACACACAGCTGTCACAAGAAATCTCAACGTTCCTGAACATCGCTACGTTCCTGGATCCCCGGTACAAAAAGCTTCCTTTCCTGTCCACACAGGAGCGCTCCAAGGTGGAGAGTAACATCGTAGAGGAGGCGAAAGCAATCCTCGAGAAGCAGATTGGAGAGCGGCCACCATGCGTTGAAGATTTCTCCGTGGTGTCTGACGAGCCACCGAGCAAAAGGCCTCACAGAGAGTCCGCCGGCAGCGCAACCCAAGAGAACCCTTTGGCCGCCATATTCTGTCAGTCCGATGCAGACCAGAGCCAGGAGGAGCTGCACGCACAGGTGGTGGAGGAGCTGAGCAACTACAAATCACAGAGAGTCCTGGGTCTGAATGAAGACCCTCTGCTGTGGTGGTCCAGCCATGCTCTCTTGTTCCCCACCCTCCCCAAGGTGCTGCAGAAGTACTGGTGTGTTCCCGCCACCAGTGTGCCATGCCACCGGCTGCTGAGCTCCTCTGGGACTGTTCTGTGTGGGAAGAGGAACCGCATAGCTCCAGCTTTAGTGGATCACCAGGTCTTCCTGTACGAGAACTCACGGAGCTACTATGAGCCTGAACCCTGTGAGGATGACTTGGACAATGTTTGGGAAGGAAACTGTAGTCTCGGTCCGCCGGTGGAATGACTGTTTGCTAAAGAGTGCTGATGACTCCCGGCACACTATTAATACACTGTGGGGAAATGCCTAGTTGCATATCTTTAAAACGTTTCAGATAAGAAGATTGTTATCACTTCAATGTCTGTGGATGGATCTTAATGGCTTAAGTAATCTGCTTTTCATCTCGTGCTATCAAAGTTCTCATTTCCCACATTATTTTTGTATATTACCAAATACCTAAATTATCTATTAAAATAACTTATTTTGGATTTTACTAAGTCTGTACAGAAAATGTAGTTAACAGAAATAAACAGCAGAAGCAGCTGGGATATCTTTATTATTATGTAATCAATTAGGAATATTAAAAAAAGAATTAGGCTCTTTGACTGAACTTTGGGGCTGGATTTTGTACTGTATATATATATATTGCAAACCCTATCAATGGCAGAGTTTTAAAAATGACTTGCTTTGCAGAACACTGGCACTTTTATGATGTGAAGGAAATGTTAAAAAAGTAAAGATTTTGTTTTCAAAATGTGCCTGACTGGTTGATGTTCCTTTATTGTTGCTTCTCTTTGAATACATTTTGATTGTATAACATATTGTTATGGACTTTCCTATCAAATCATATTTGCCCTGAATCCAGAAAAGCAGGTAAATGCAGGCTTCATAATGCTGTGGTGCTCTCTCCTCCTACAGTCTTACCCAGGCAGGATGGAAGGGTGGCCATTGTGACGGGGGGGACCAGAGGGATGGGTTATGAGACAGCGAGACACCTGGCCAGCCTTGGCATGCATGTTATCATAGGTATGCTACTGTCCATTCACATGCCTCTAGTCTCATTACATCGACCTGCTACCCCTTCTAATACATGTTAACTACATCTCTTCAGTGCAGCTTCTATTTCTACATTCACAATGTTTCAGAGAGTTTGGCCGCAGCCTACCTTGTGTAGTGAACATCTTTAATAGGTAGTACTGTGAACAGATGAGCGTTAGTCATTGTGCGTGAGTTAATTTGTGCTGGACACCCACCCTCTGTGATTTCCATCACCTCCAGCTGGGAACGAGAAGGAGGAGGGGGCCGCCGCCGTCAGGAGGATCAAGGAGGAAGGATGCGAGAGGAAAGGTAACGTCTCTGTCCCAACACATCAATGCAGATTAGAAAGGTTTAAATAACTGCAGTCTGGATAGTTTCAGTTATGAAAACAGCCATCAAATCCTTACTAATAATATAAAACATTAGGCCCCGTTTGAATATTAATAATGAATATCAGAATACCTTTATTAGTCCCACAGAGGGGAAAAGCTTTTATAACCACGAGTAAAGCTTTATATGAGAGAGATATGTTTGTGTTATAGCCAGTATCTAAATAAAGATGTGCAGAGGACCTGAGCCCAGGGCAACAGGAGACATGATATCTCAAGTCCTCTTCTTTTAATCCACATGGAGAGATCACTTACCCAGAGAGCAATCCTGAACATAGCTGTAGACACCTTTGTTACTTTAACGTTAGGTTTTCGTACCCATAATCAATCCTGTGTTGTGTGGCTTTGTGTTCACAGCTGAGTTTGTCTACATAGACCTCACCTCGCTGAAGTCGGTGCGGAACTTTGCCCAGGCGTTCAAACAGCGCCGCCTCCCGCTCCACGTGCTGGTGAACAATGGTAGGGTGCACTGCAGGGGTTGGGGGGGGGGGTCACAGTACCCATTATAACAGATTGGCACTAACCTGTCCTCTGTGCTGTAGCGGGGACCATGATGGTGCCTGAGAGGAACACGGAGGACGGCTTTGAGTTCCACTTTGAGCTCAACTACCTGGGCCACTTCCTGCTGACCAACCTGCTCCTGGACACCCTGAAGAGGTCGGGGCGGGGGGGCTCCTGCTCCAGGATCATCAACATGTCCTCCGCTACTCACTACGCAGGGGTGGTGCAACTGGACGACCTAAACAGGAGGTATGACATCAGACTTTTTAAACTCACACCCCAAGCTTTCTCTGTTTTTCTCTATCTTAAAAAAACAAATATGTCAGAATGATAACTAGTATGTCCCCCCTCCCCCAGGATCTGCTACAGCTCCCATGGGGCCTACTCGCAGAGCAAACTGGCCCTGGTCCTCTTCACCTACTACCTGCAGGAGCAGATGATGGCGGGGGGGTTCCCGGTGATCGCCAACGCCGTGGACCCTGGCATGGTGGACACGGCGCTGTACGACAACCTGTGGAGCCTCGCTCAGGCCATGAAGAAACCTGTGGCCAAGATCCTGTTCAGGGTACAGCGAGGAAAACAACACGTGATGTTAAGTTTACAATATTACCAGTGTCTAATTTTTCTGATCACGGTTTCCTACCTCAGACTCCGGCAGAGGGAGCGTCCATCTCCGTCTACGCTGCGGCCGCCTCTGAGATGGAGGGGGTGGGGGGGTGTTACCTCTACAACGGGGAGAAGAGGCAGTCCTCCCCCCTGTCCTACGACTCTGAGCTGCAGGCCGAGCTGTGGAAGAAGAGCTGCGAGCTGGTGGGCCTTTAGGAGGTCTGGAGATTATGCAGATAATAATAATAAGAGGAAGGAGATTGAATGATAGTATTATTATGGTTTATACTGTGGTACGGTTCAATGCTTGAGATGCCAAATGACTAACATTTTACTGTGTATCACCTTTAGAATGTATTCTAATCAAATGTCTAATTTATTGATTATAATGCGCAAAAATGGTTTACAATGATCACTGTGATTCAAGCCTTTTTCCACTGGGTTTTATTGTACATATTATACCAACAGATTGTCCAATGATTGTCAACCTTGTTAATAAACATAGAGCCTCGAAGAGTCCCAGAATTCTGAAGTTATTTAAATGTGTTATATATAAATTATTTGGTTTGGTTTAACAATCTATCTGAAATGAGTGATACCAAACCCATCCAGATATGTTTTAGGTTATAGATATATTTATTAGTTTTGGCTAAGCAGTCACTTAGCAGTTGGCCTGCTTGTGAAATAACAGCCAAGAGGATTTGGTGCAGAACTAATCCTGAGAGCAGACAGAAACATGATGACAGGGAAACCTTTGTAAGCCAAGAGTCGACCCAGCTTCTCTCTTTCTCTCTAGAAACATCTACGAGGAACTGCTCTGCCTCTGGCTGACTCTGCCAAGAACTTCACTCCAATTATTGCACATTTCCACGACCCCCCCCAGAGAAATCATGCCTACATCATTCCTCACAGTCCTGCTCAGATTTCACTTAAGACAAACGTGGAGTTTTTGATGGTATTAACTAAGTAAAGCTCACTGGGATTTGAGTGCCCTGTGGGAGAGTTTAGGACACAATGAAAAGCCTTCATTCAACATTAACGGGCACTAAGTGCAGCAGCAGAGACGAGGACTCCTCCACTGCACTGCCATCTAGTGGCTGAGCTGAAAACGGTTTGTTTGCCGTTAACTCACATTCTGGATTTATTTAACAGTGTTATGACAATATTGATCTAACTAAATGTTCTCCAAGTAAACTGTTTCTGCAGCTTTCAAATAAGTTAATTATAAAGCTAGTAGGTGAATATTTTAGGTGACATTAAAAGTGATCCATATGTTTACATTTGCAACCAAAAAAGAATTAAATCAGACAGTCTTTTATACATTTGCACTGATGTACAGTATTATTTATTAAATCAGAGTAAAACATCATTAAAATGACCCTATTGTACCAGTACAAGTAGTTTTGTAATTCAAAAGTAAAACTTTTGTAACAGATTACAATGTGCAAATTAAATCTGTTAGCTGTTTGTATACAAATGTGCAAAGCTGGAATACAAAAAGATTAAAGATGCCATTTTGATTTAGTAAAAAATAAGATATAGTACCGAGATGAATGATGACAACAAATAATGTGAGGTTAACTGTAGACACACACCGGATTTGTTCGTATAACTTAATAACAATGAGACTGTGAGCAGCTGAGTCGTACTGTCAATATTTTACACTTTTTAAATACACACAACAAATATTCCTGGATGGTTTAAATCCGTTAACAGACCAAATACTGAATATATAGTTATAGCCAGATTTAGCAATCATTGTGGTTTTACAGGAAGCAACATTAATAGCATTTTAATTGTACAGTTCATTATTTTATCCTTATTTAAAGGCTGTAACATCCCTCCAACACGTTCAAACGCTCGCTGTAAACACTGAAAAGGTTGAGAGATTTGAACGTGTGGTTACACAGCCAAAGGAGTGGCTAACATAACAATACACTCTTTAGTTTAAACACTGACAAATGTAGAAAGCTCCCATCCTCACACACCATCACTGGTAGATATTTGTCCGACGACTCCTATGTTGACAACCTGATGCTGCTGTGCAAGCTGCTTTGATCCAGTCTGGTTCTATAAACCACCTCATGCTGTACATGTGTTAAACAACTTGTGCATTCCTGCTCAGTAAACCATTTGTAAAGGATTGTAGAGGATTATTCCACAGATGGCTTTAGTACTTCCAACAGAGGACTGGAACTTTTTTTTTTACCCTCAAACTGGAGACTAAATGTTGGGAGAGGATATTAACATTACTTTGCCCACAGAGCTGAGGTTTTAAACGTCACTTTGGCCCAAATAGTTACAGGCATGCTTTAAAAATCCTCCTCAGGACAGATTACAGTATTTTAAAATGGCCTCTGTAATGATGACGCACAAATATTCTGCAGATAACAGACTGAAGGTCAGGAGGCTCTAGTGTCAGCTGACCTGGAGGCACAAACCATGCACTCTTCAGCATCTGTTATCAGCCTTCACTGATTAACACTATGGTGCATCAATACAGGCTACAGTGATGACAGGAGTTCTTAGTGCACTGTTACTGCAAAGAGTATTTCCATCATATTAAGGGGGAAAAGGTACTTCACATCTTATTGATGCAAACTGATCATTTATTAGCCTAGTTTTTGATTGATTTTTAACTATTTTGCATAAAAATTACTGCATTTTGATAGTAAATACATATGTATGTATGTAATTATGAGCTTTACCCTGCACCTCAGCTCAAAACGTATGTAGTCTGTTCTGTTCTGTCTGTTACTGTAAACCACTGTTGTCACTGTGTGCGTTACCTGTCGCCTCCCTGTGCCCCCCCTGGTCTCAGCCAAAGAAACTTGTCTTGGGTCTGGACCTAAAGGACCTTCTCCCAGAGTCCTCCATCTCCTCGGGGTCGTGGAACGTCGTGCTGTGGACGATCTGCGATGCTCTGTTGCGCAGCTTCTGCAGCCTGGGCTTTATCCTGCTGAGTGAAGACTTCCTGCGGACCACCTTCTGTCTGGGTCGACCCTCTCCATCCACACAGTCATCGTCGTGGGGGGTGAGCAGTTTGAGGGGCTTGGACTGGAGAACCTTGGAGAACCTCCAGCGGTCTCCATCTCTATTCTCTGCGTTCGTTGACTCAGAATGCTCGTACGCTCCTATGATGTCCCGTATGTCCAGACTCACGTTGTCAGTGAGGTACTGGCAGGCCTTCTTCCCGCTATAGTCCCTGATCTCCACGTCTGCACTGTAGGCCCCCACCAGCAGCTTCACCACCTCCATGTGGTTGTGCATGGCAGCAATGTGCAGTGGTGTGTAGCCTGTGTTGGAGCGAATATCAACACTGATGGGAACATGGTGCTGTTTGGCGAAGTTGATGATGAGTGCTATGAGCTCAGGCTTGTCTTGCTTGGCCGCCCAGTGCAGGCAGGTGAACCCGGAGACAAAGTCCTTCTTAAGGACCAGGCTGGGATCCGTGGAGAGGAGCTGGGACAAGCTGCCCCACTCCGCATCTGAAGAACACATCATCCACTCGTGCTCCAGCGGGTCAAGGGTCACTGACGTCCTGCTTTCGTCATCCATGCCTGAGGAGGCCAGGGAGGCCGAGTCCCCATCACTCCTGGAGGACAGGTAGACAGAGTCGCGTAACACCATGCTGCGCCTTACCTGGGGGGAGCTGCTCATCATCACCTGGATGAAGTGTTCCCGGCTGCCTTGGGGGCTGACTTCCCCTTCACTGCCAGACAAACTGTTTGTGTCTGACTGACCTTCATCCTCCTCCTCTTCATCAGACTGCTCCTGCAGGCCCTCCAGGGACAGAGTGTCTCTGAGAGGAGCGATGTGTACAGGCCCAGGCAGGGTGAACACAGGCCCCTCTGCCGGGAGAGGCGATGCTTCAATCACTGATATCTCAGGGACGTGAGGCGCATTTCTCTCCTGCTCCTTCCTGGACTTCTCTCTTTTGATGCTTCCTCTGTTACCCATCTCACCTGGGCGGTTGTCCACACCTGTACAAACAAACTCTCGACCCTTGTTGTTGTTGTCGGCTGTTATATCCGGGTGAATAGTTTCAGAGGGAAAAACATGCGGAACTCTAACCTGGCTGTCATTTCCGTAACCTGAGCCAGGTGTGTGCAGGGCTGAGTCCGCCGCGTCATCAGCACGAGCCTGCGTGCCGTGTGGTGCACCTGCGGTATAATAACGGTGAACTAGTTCCTCTGGATGTAACGTGTGTAGGCCTACCGTCACAGACTCGTCCTCGGTAACACTCAGCTGCTCCTTCTCCGAACCGAGAAACTTCTTCTTCACGCAGACATATTTAACTCCACTCTCACTTTTCACAAAAGCAATCTTGTCAACGTTGTTTTTAAATGTCTGACGGGCAGCCGCTTTCTTCTCCGGCTCCTCCGGGAATACGGCTTTAAAATGCGCAATCAAATCGGCGTTTTTCACTTTGCCCCCGTTTTGCTTTAGAAAGTTCAGAATTGTCTCTTGAGTGCACTCGGAAGCCATTGTAAACTAACTAAAACACTTTCAATCACGCTAATAACAACATACTGTGATTGTGTCCAGCACCCGAATGTTCACCGGGGCAGAACTGCATAAAGTAGAACCTTTAATGACGACAAGTCATGCATATATAATGGGACAAGTAAGGTGGAGCTTTTCCCTGCGGTCTATTTCTACTGTTCTGGCGTTCTCTGCCTCCTAGCAACCGAGCAGGACTGTACCATTGGCTTTTAGGGAGAGGGGGGTTACTGACACCGTACCATTCATATGTAGTGGTTAAAACGTAATTCGTGTTGCGGTTGCTAAACACTTCTAAATATATATTTGTATTATTATGTAGCCTTTCAAAGTTTAATATGTTTGAAATGATATAACAGTAATACAACCTAACGTTATTTGTTTGGTCCCTTTTAAGTGGGTCTGTCGGATTTCCAGCTTCGCTCTGTACCACTGTTTGTTCAAACCATGGTTCAAACCAGTCTATGGTTCAAACTTGATTGAAAGATCAGGTTATTGATGTTTTTTGAATGAGTAATGACAGTACTGTTTGTTATGGGAAAACAAAGTGGTTGCTGCGTTGCACAACAGGACTGAACAAGTGATCCTGCTCCTGACTCATCAAGATCATGTCAGAGCTTGTGAAGAATATTACACGCTGGGTAATCCTATGATTATGGGGCGAAGAAAGGCTGAATACATCCCAAGGGTTCCACCTCAAATCTGCCCCCCTTGTTTGTTTTTTTGAAAACTTTATTTTATATTATTTGGGCAGTACATGATATACAAATGTTACATTAATAATACATATAACACACAATGAATAAATATATAAATAACATAAAGAGAGCACGTTTATGTTCCAATGAGACTCAGTTCGGTCACAGACTCAAAACGCCCCATGGCTGAGTCTGGGATTTGTCCAGGGTTTTTCTTCTCCTTAGTTCAGTGATAACCTGTTTCACAATGGTGTCACTGTTTATGATCGTCTGATTTAGTATCATCTTGCACCTTGTCTTCCAGATCTTCATACATGTTATACAAATTACCAGCTGAAAAAGTTCCCTGTGTTTATTGTCCATCCCCTCATCCAGAATACAATACATGATTGAGATATATTTTACATTGAACTCTAAGCCGATGCCCCGTAGGAGCGACCACACCTCCTCTGCTCTGTAGCAGTCCATGACGAGGTGCTGTAAAGTTTCGTCTTCCTCACAGTTAATCATGGGGCATGTTCTAGTTTTCACATAGCAGCTCCATGAAACCACAGCTCTGACCGCAAGTCTGTTGACTGATATCAGCCACCTCACGTCTCTCATGCTCTCCGATAACTGTTTACTTTTCACTAATTTCAAGACTTCGTTACCTTCGTCAGGTGTTAGGTTTTTGTATGTTATAACACCTCCATATTTGAAATCGTTTATCATTTTGAAAATTACTCTATTCGGTAGTCCGATCCAATCAATCCCTAAATGCTGAACTTCAGTTGTGAAGTCACCATAAACTAACTTGTAATAGGGTCCATTTCTAGCTCTGCCTCTTCTTTTGTTACATCCCATTTTTCCATCCTCAACCCAAGGTGCTTTCCTATTGATTGCAGCCGAGATGTTTTTAACAAAGGTAATTTTTAGTTTAATGCCCAGGTCTATGGCTCCCAGGCCTCCATAGCCTCTACTTTTAAATAACAAATTACATTTAGTAACCTCCCTTGTTGTACCCCACACCAAATTGACACACTGTTTGTTTAATTGCATAATTATTAATTATTTAATAATATTTATTTATTCTCCCATTGTTTAACTTGTTCTTTGACTTCACTTAGTTTGTTCTTGCCTTGCCTTATTGTGCAGTAGGCCGCCCAATTCAGTTTGCACTTGGGTTTATTAGGGTTAAAAGTGTTGTAAGACATAATTAGTTAGACAATTATGAACAGTCCTGTCCCCATAAAACCTGCCACACAAGTACTTTTTATAACGCTGAAACCTGCACAGGGTTTTGAAAAAGTTAATTAACAAAAAAAGAAAAATAACATAATTTCTTCTTATTCTTCAGGGGAAAATTATCAAGCAACATATATATCTCAAGATGTCCAGAAAGGTTTCTCGCTGGGTTGAAAGATGTACCTTTTGGATTGCAGTTTTCTTACTTACTATACAGCATAGTCATGATTAGAGTTTTTTACAAAATTTATCTGTTCGATTGCAAAATGGCTATTAGAAGTTCCTGTGGTCAGCAGTATGAAATCCTGATTACCACTAATACTGAGAAAATGAGAGGGTCAAGGGTAACTGAAAATGAACAGATTGCATATACATTTTTAACACATTACCAAAATGACACACACCTTACTACAGTACTACACACTACCAAACCATTTATAACACTAGACAATCACTAGCATAGGCCATCACAATAGCAGTGTGCACGTCTCCCTGTCAAGGTCCGTTGCAGGCACACCTTACAACAAACTCTACATTACCATTGTGGAACCAATGAGGCAAAATACGTATTACCATTAAATATGTGTTAGTGCGCTGTCCATCAAGGCAGACGCTGTATCAATGTGACTATCCATTATTATTGTAGCTTGACTAAACTATGCAGACAGTATTGTGAGAACATGAAAAGTGAAGAGCATTATCATGATCAGTAGTAAACACAATCATAGCTAGTAAGAAGTGCCAGGAACGATCACTTAAAAAATGACTTGCCTGTCACGTACGCACTGCTTGCCTCGTTGGTGAAAATAAGTGTAAAGTTGTCACTGGCTGAAAAAGCCGAAGATTTGAATGAACTACAGTAACCTTACGTCTGATGTGNAGTGCCTTCATAATCGAATACCAGCCACTACCTCCCGGAAATGCCTAAAGGAAATTCGGAAAACGTATTTGTACTAAATCAAAAGAACATAAAAATTAGAACACCAGACAAAACAATCACATTTGACATTTGCCACTCAACTGTTTACCGTTAAAGTACCACTCTCTCTCCCCATTCGGTCCGGAGATTCGGCCGTCGAGACATGCACGATCGGTATTCAGGTATTAATTTTATATTTGTTACTGGTGAAGGCTTTTTTTTTATCAAGCCCAATAATAAAAAAAACTTTTTCTTCTTTTGGCTTATTTATAATTTCTCTTAAAATTGATAAGTTGTCCCACATAAGGCGACCTTTTATAGCACATGTTTGCTCCTTATCTATTATTTTATCTAATATATCTGTTAATCTATTCATTATTATTTTTTCTAGTATCTTATAATCAGTATTCATTATAGTTAAATGTCTGTAATTATCTATATTAGTTTCATCGTTTTTTTTATATAGTAGAGTCAAGACACCTTCATAAAATGAGTCCCCCATACAACCACTGCTGAGACCTTCATTAAACATAGTTTAAGTTCATAAGTTCAAAACATCATCAGATAATAGTTGGTAAAACCCAGTGGGCAGGCCATCAGGGCCGGGGCTCTTACCAACATTCAGCTCTTTCACCGCCTGGATCACCTCATCTTTTCTAATCTCACCCAGAAGGAAATCAAAGTCTTGGATGTTGTACGGATCCAACAACTCTGATTGTTCCCAACAGAGTTTTAACACAGTCCGTTTTAATGTCTATTTCTTTATATGCTTCAGAACATAAATCTCTTATCACTTCTTGTTTCTGTTTTTCATTATACACAATACAACCTTCTTGGTTTTTTATACATTTGATGAATTTACTTTGAATTTGCTTTTGGTTAGTTTTAATGGCTTGAGCCAAGTTGCCTCTCTGATCTATTTCAGATGCTGTATGAATATTATATAATGATTCCTGGTTTAATTGATCAATTTCAGTTTTTAACTTAGATATATTTTCTTCTACCGTTTTAGTTTTAACTTTAATCTGCTTTAAATTAATATATTGTTTGATTAATGATATTTATTTTTTTCACCCTTTTTCACCTCCTTCCTTTCCTCTTCCAATCATTTTCGAGTCTGTTGGAACAGGTCGTTCAGAAAGAATCATCAAACGGTCAACTATAGTTGGAATAATGTTTACATTTTCTATCAGATTATTCTTCGATATTTAAGAAGAAATTTCCGGTTTTGCCTCTTCCAGACATATTTTCAGTTGTGTCAAAACTGTGGTTTTACTCTGCATACCATCAATTGGTTCAAAATGTTTTAAATACATGGACATTAAAGAAATAATTTAAAGTAGAGCTGCTGGTGGCTTTAAAATAAGCAGCTCCTATATATAATAGTATCTTTAAATAACTGAAAGGATAACAGTCAAAGCTCAGTGAACCAACACTTGACTGTCGAACACAAACAAATAGCAAAAATACATAGATTATATACAATTATTTTCTGGACATTGTCATTATGTTTAAGTTCAGCATAAAGATGAGCCTTATCTCAGCTTCTGATCCAACAGATATAACACACAGAACTCAATTATTGTAAGAAATCCTAATTAATCAGGATGAACAAGTTCTGAGTGTGTGCAAGAATGTGCTGACGTGCCCTGACACCTTTGCTGCTGCATTTAGTCTGAAAGAACTATAGTGAGCCTATGCTCAGGGCAGGTACCTTGTTTTAGAATCACATATGCACACCTCTTGACAAAAAGAGCATGTCAAAACATAGAGCAATGCACAGTGATGGGTCAGCTTGCTGTGGATCAATCACTTCTGATATAGTTGTACAGGGTGCATATTTTTACCTTAATTTCTAATGTTAATATAAATATATTTATGTATTAGTTCATTGTATACTTGCTTTAACTTCTTATGTTTATATAAATGCTTTTATTTGACAGTTCTAGTACTTAAAAGATAAAATATATTATTTCAACTTGCGTCAAAAATCAAAGAAATTGAGGGTAACCTGTGTCTTTTTTGCATTTATGTAAAATCGACCATGTAATCAGCAATGATCTGCTTTGCACTCCATCTACTGCTGCCATCTACTGGAGATGTTCCAGGCAATGCATTTCAAAATACCTTTTTCTAATTTATTGCTGGTGCAGTAGATAAATAAATAATCCATATTTCACTGTCATTTTTACAAAATATTTAATTTAATTAAAAACAAAAATCACACATCACAAGCATTACGCACAAACCACAGCAGTCAGAGCGTCAGTCTGTGTGTTTCAGAGACCTCAGAGCTGGAAGGATGTCGTCCAAGTGTCTCACTCCTGAAATACACACACACTAAATTGAAGCTATCACAAGGTTTTTATTTTTTATGTATTTATATAACAAATGAGTTTTGATAAGTGGTGGTCAAAATTGTTTGATGCTTTATTTATTTTTCTCTTTGCTGGAATATTTTCTCTGTATTAATGTGGAATATGTGTTGCATTGTGTTATATTACCTAGAGTGTGTAAAATGTCCAGAATGAGGTCATGGAACGCAGGGAAGAACTCCTCATGCTGCTTCACTTTCACGATGATACTGTAAAACAAAAGCATCTTGGGTTACTTTCACCTTGTGCACGCCTGGCCTTAAAATGCAGCTCATATTCCAAATGTATGAACCTGTCAATGTCAGCGTCTCCTAGGACATCATGGAGTCCGGCTGTGTGCTCAGCGGAGGACACCAGCGAGGCCACGCGGTTGACCACCTCTGCAGGAGGAACCCTGCTGTCTGATAGGGAAAGAAAACACTATTTAACTCCATTGTATCAGAGAGGAATATATGAAGCTTGGAGTCCAGCTGAGGCCCACCTAGCTGCAGGACGTCTCGCAGGTTCCTCATGGTGTTGGTGGCCTCTCCCAGCCGACTGTACACCTCGTTCATACGCGGGTACACTCCGCTCAGCGAGCCCACGTCAAACAGCTTCTGGAAGTGAGACAGCATGGAGCCCAGGGTGAAGCGGGTGGGGCTCCTGAGCACCTGGCAGGACAAACAGCACCACAAAGACACCCAATGAGAGACAAGCTTTATTTTGAGTAGGTAGTATACAAGTCTTGCAGTGTTGTACCTTCTCATCATCAGTCGTGGTGTTTTCCAGCATGGTGTCCACCAGCAGCATCATGTCCTCCATCTTCACCACTTCTGAAGCAGCATGGCCCCCATCAGAGGGCTGCCAGGGCATCAGTCTGACACTCAGTTTATTTAATCCCCTTTGTAGATCCTACCAACAAATGAGAGTCATTTAAAAAGCATGGTAGACATGTGCTTTTTGAACACAGAATAGTGGCTAACACACAGGATTATGCAATGCGCAGGGGTCAAACACCAGGTGAAGGTGAGTCCTACAGTGGTGGGCAGGTGGAGTTTACCTTCAGCAGGTGGAGCTGCTGGGCCCACCCCTCCAGTGTGGGCAGGATGGTGTGAAACTCAACAGAGGATGGTTTGGTTCTGTGCAGGCGTAGAGGCGCGTTGGGATCAGACACCAACGATTTAATATTGTGTAACAGCTGGTAGTGAGGAAAGAAAATCACCGTTAGTTGTGTTTTGTTAGGAGGAGTGAACAACAGAAAGAAAAAAGAACAACAGTATGCTTACATGGTGATAGTAGGCACTTAAATTGCCCTGGTCATTGATGTTCTCACTGATATCTGAAGGGATGTCTTCTTTAGGAGAACTGAACAGATGGAATAAATGGATCAAATACTGGATACTGAGGCTTACACATGGTTTACTGAAGGGGTTCAGTTACAAGAAAGGTGTTGCTACGAAACAGAGATGGATATTGCTTTTTGAAACAGCCAATCGGAGCGGTGCCTTACGGGACTTTCCTTAAGAGTTCCTACCTTTGGTTATTGTGTTTGATTGAGCCCTCCAACCGGCGGAGCTTGTGTTTGTAGAACTTCACCTCTTTGAGTGTGGGCCTACACAGAGGAACACCGTCAGTGGGATTACTCATATCAAAGCACTTCTGCTGGAGACTTAATGAACACACACCTGGTATCCACCTCTCTCTTCAGGCGCTCAACCTCTTTCTTTAGCTCTTCTATTTCACGTTGGCTTCCCTTCTGCTGCTCGTGGTATGCCTTGGAAGAAATGCAAGAGCATCAAGTACTGCTTTAAGTGAGAGGGTGTGAAAAGGAACACACATTTGTGAGGCTACCTTGAGAATAGTTTTGAAAGATGGAGTCACATTGCTGGATGTCTTCTTGATTCCTGTCTGATGAGCCACTTGAGAACCTTGTCCTTTCCCAGATCTGGGGGAAAGAACGTTAGTGTGTCTTGTTGTCTATGTACTAAAGTATTTTGTAATAAAAGGGTCAGATTTTGGGGGGGATGTTACCTGAGCTCATCCATCAGCTGACTCATTTTGGTCTCATAGAAGTCAATCACATCCAACACCCTGCAGAGAGAAGAACCAGGAGCAACTCATCACATCTCATTTCAATGAATTACATTTTTTTTTAAAGCTATTGTGCGTGTGTCAGGCTCTCACTGCTGGTCTGCGGGGGAGTTCTGCTGGCTGACTTTGTTACAGATGTGTTGGAAGGTCTGGATCTGTCGGGCCGAGCGTCGCTCTTCTTCTTTGACGGTGAAATAGAGTTTCCTCTGAAGGTCGGTTGCTTCCTCCCTCTGCTTGGACAGCTTCTGCTCCAGAACCTGACACAGTTTCTACACAAACATCTCTCTCTCAGACCATGTTTTCTGACTGAAGCTAATAATTGACAATATTCACCATCTATTAGTTTATTTTCATATATGTCTGTCATCATTGTGTGTTGTGGACCTACCTGCTGCTGCTGCTGCTGCTGCTGCTGAGTGTGGCTGTGCTGCTGGACGGCCTTGCTGAGGCAGCGGTCCTCCAGGTCCTGGACCCTGGTCCTCACCACATCCAGCAGCCCCTCCAGCTCTGTGGCCCTCTGAGACTGCTGAGCGGCCCCCCTCATGTGCTCCTGAACCTCCTCTCTACACACATACACAAGATTCACTCTAACAATCAAACAATTGCATTGTTACATTCTAAAAAGCAAGACGCTGCAAGTACATTAGCTTCAGTGATCAGCGAGCCGATTGGCCGATGTCTGATGTTGACAAAAAGCATTCTGACATAGCATACAGTACATTTATTCAAATGATTGCTTGCCCTGGAGGTGTTGTGGAGAAATAAGAGCAGTGTTCCTGTCAGCTGCTCTCCCTCTGCCCACCAGCCACCTGGCCTACAGCCCCCCCCCTCTCACTGAGTGTTCATACCTGCACTGAGCTGTATCTCTGTCCAACTCCTCTGATGAGATGAGATAGCAGGAAGACAGGTGGTCCACACTACTTATGCATTATTAAGTAGATACGGACACCATCAGTAACATCTACTGCAGGCATGTACTCTGAAAGACCCTCAGCTGCTTCAGATCAATCTCATTAATTCCATACATTCCAGGAGGATGATGCTATTTTATATAATGATATTTTCATATTTAACCTTATGCAGCTAATAAACGGATTCCTGTTTGACTACAAATATCTTATTTCATGTCAAACTGGTACTTCAAATAATGCTTCTCTCTTGGGATAAACCTCTACATTTCAGGATGAATTGGTTGGTAGTTTGACTAACTTGAGTTCGTTGTTGGACTTGATGAGCTCGTGGATTAGAGCCTGTCTTCTGTCCGAGTCTGTGAGCATCGTCCTCATAGTCATCCTCATCTCACCAGCAGACTTCTTGTCCAGCAGAATCAGATCTAAAGACACATGAAGATTCACACAACATATAAATATTCTCTATTCCAAAAGAAAAGGTATCTGCAAACATCTCTTATAGACTAATTAAATCCAATACATTTATGTAAACTCAGAAATGTTGACAAGAAATGGGAGCTATTGCCTCTTACCAGAAATATTCCTATTCTCTACAGGATCTGCAAAATACACAGGCTTAAAACCGTGATGCTGCAGAAGTTTATTCAGCCCATCCCATTCTGCCTGCTCCTCCTGAAACACACACACAACACAATGTACAAACAAACATTACAGAGCAATGTGAAGCTGTTGATGACGTCTGAGCTCTACCTGAAACTGCCTGGAAGTCCACAGATAAACATATGTCTTATTTCTTGTTGGCAGCAAAGTAGCTCCCCTGCTTTCCATGTCTTACACTGCAGAAACAGCTCAAAGTGTCTGCAGGTCTTCCAGCTGGAGGGCTGAACTACAGGCAGTAATGAAAGGCGATCCACGCTTCCATACACACGCCTCTTCAGCAGTGGAGGAATGCTATAAAGTACATTTACTCAAGTACTGTATTTTATTATTTCATTTAACCTGAGTATTTTCAATTTATGCACATTTATACCCCTACTCCACTCCATCTTGGAAGCCAATGATGCACTTTTTGACAGCTTTATTTACTTTAAAGATTCACATTATTAGCAAATGCAAAATGTAATCAACTAAGATATAAAAATTATATGGTAACCTAAAAATATAGGTTAACATATCCTGCTGTTGTTTTATATTTCATTTGCTCACCCTTTCCCAGTTGTGAGAGACATTAATGCATAAATAATTAAGTTATTTAATCTGCAATATTCTGAAATAGGCCATTAGGATTCCATTACTTTTGTACTTTTCTGAAAGCAGGAATTCTACTTGTAACATAGTATTTTCATTACTACTTAGATCTGAGTACCTTTCCATGGGTTTAAACCGACAAAAACAAACAGAACTGAAGAACCAGCAGATAGCTTACGTTAATATGCAGTTCCTATAATAAGGTCTAACAATATTAGTATATAATGACCCTTTATTACTTTACTTTTTACGTCCTTTATTAGTTTAGTTAGCTCGGTTAGCTTCTGGCTGTAGCTAACAAGGTACCATTTCATATTAGCGGTGTCTGGTCCTGAAAGAGGTCTTTATGAATGAAAATACGACATGAATTATTATTTATTACCATTGTTGGTGTCGCCGTTACCAGCTGCAGAGTTGTCCGATAGTTTTGCACCTTTATACAGTCAATGTTTGTGAACTAATAAGCGTAACTTCACTGTTTATGTCAGGCATTTACGTTTCATGTGTGGCTCTTCCGTGATTCAAACAATTGCGCGCTGACGTCATCGTGCTTAACCAATGGGATGTGGCCGTTTAAGTCCTTCACCAATCAGCGTTACTGTTCCTAATTTATGCAAATGACATGTCGTCAGCTTGTGACTGCAACTTGTTCCTGTTCGCGGACGACTCAGCCCTGCTGGTCTCTGACAGGAGCAGGTTGCATGTTGAAAAAACCCTCAGCTCGGAACTCGGCAGAATCTGCACCTGGCTCGCCGATAACAAACTATCATTACACCTGGGTAAAACAGAGTCCATTCTCTTCGGTGCAAAAAACAAACTCAGCAAGACCGACGGCTTCTCAGTTACAGTGGGTGACAATATTGTCACAAGGAAATATGAAATTACATACCTAGGTTCCATACTAGAGGCAAATCTCTCCTGTGACAGAATGGCATCCAATGTAATCAAAAAAGTCAACCAACGAACTAGATTCTTGTACCGGATCTCCTCTCTGGTAAACAAGAATACCATGAAGACTCTGGCAGGAGCGCTCATTCAAGGGTACTACGACTATGCTTGCACCTCATGGTACCAAAGCACCTCAAAGGCGCTAAAAACAAAATTACAAACATCACAAAACAAACTGGTCAGACTACTGCTTGACCTCACTGCTAGAACCCACCTCACCCCTGCCCACTTTGACAAGGATGGCTTAGAGTAGACGACAGAGTACAGCAACTTGCAATGGGCCTGGTCTACAAGATACACTACACCACTAAGGTACCCATGTACATGTCAAAATACTTCCCAAAGGTCAGTGAATACCACGACCACAACACCAGAGGGAGCTCCACAAATCATGTTAAACCCAGATTTGGCTCAAACAAGGGATAAACACGTTTCGTAATTATGCCACAACAATGTGGAATGCCCTACCCACAGCTGTAAAGGAATGTGAATCACTACCCACCTTCAAAACCTCTCTAAAAAAGCACCTACGGGAGACTGCAATTCGAAACTGGCCCCTGTAAATGTCCAAACCTAACCCCCTACAATATACAGTTCCCCCCCCCCACATACTCTCTTTTTAGACTCTTTTTGTACTCACAAACAGTACTGTATATTTGTAGATCTGGTATGTCATAAATGTCTAGATGTAACAGTACTGTCTATTTGTATGTCATATATGTTGAATTATATATGATGAATTGTAAATGAATCTAAAATGAAAATGAAATCTATCTGTGTATGTCATGTATGTCATATATGTTATGATGAATCAAAATGGGGGACCCGGATGTAAACAAGACGAAAGTCTTTCTCTGGTCTGCATCCTCTTAACAATTGTGGGTATTGAACTGTACTATATTGTACCCATTCTGCAATCTGTTAATAACATTTTCAATCAATCAATCAATCAATCAATCAATCAAGCGTGTGGTACCAACTGCCAAAAAGGTTTTACCTGAAAAGCCTTCCTCTTTCTAAGGCACTGATAATGTACACAAGTCTTTTATTCAGTATAGTACAAAGATATAATGATAACCCTGAACTGCTTAATAATAATAAATGGGATTTATATAGCGCTTTTCTAGACCCAAAGACGCTTTACATTACGAGTAAGGTCGACAAACAAAACAAGAACAAAAACACAAACAAAAACAAAAACAAAAAACAAAAACAAAACAAAAACAGAAAAGTAGTCAGGAGGATGTTGGTTCAGAGGGGGGAGGGGCGGGTTTAAGGATAAGCAGAGTTGAAGAGGTGGGTTTAGCCATATTGAAAGAAAATCACATTAATTTTGATACCAAGTACATGGTTATTCAATAAAAATGATTTCGTATTCTCAGAATGAATACAGCTGCACTAAACACCAGTTACCACAGGATGGCAGTCAGCGCGTCTGCACAATGCAACATCTACAAATATCTCAACAGTATTTAAATCTTACTGCCTTCTCCCTCTATTCTTCAAACAGTTCATCCTCATTAATGTGCACATATGCAAAATCTATTTAAAGGAGGGAGTGATTTTGATTTGTAGCTTAAAGGTTGGGAAACTAAAGTATAATGAAACCATATTCATCACACAGTATGATGACACAATAGTCCATGTACATCAATATTTTTACATTCAGGTAATAAATAGTCCAATTAAGTGATGTTGTTTTTGCAGCTTGAGTTGGAGCCTGGCCCTGGGATGAACTCAGTCGTCCAGGTAGAATGGAGGTGACGTAATCACTCGCCATAAATCATACAGCACAGGTCAATGGGACCCTCGACTCCATCAAGGCCTACATTTCCATTTTAATTTTCTTTCAGTGGAGTTGATTTATGTGGGGACACAGTGAGTAGCCAGGCTCTCGCTGCCTCTATTCAGGAACAGACGCTGGTGACCTTTCCTCTCTGGATCCGTGAAACTGAGACTCTGGTACATTAGGGCCAGGTACAGTAGGTGCTCCACAGCGAAACCTCACGTCCAGGGAAGACGAATGTCAGACAGCATGTAGGGCGACAATTACAAAAGTGGAAGAAAATCATCTCCGAGTCATAATATCACCATAATATATACTTGGAAATAAGCCAGAAGTGCATTCAAGGAAGCTTCAATATCCTACTTTGGTATTCAGCAGCTGAGAGCATTGCACTGATTTGACTCAAAAAGAAGGTGGTGGGATTAGTTTCTGCTTGTCTGCTGAGTGCTGCGTTACTGTATGTACATTAAGTTCGTGCAAAGGCCCATTAAGTGGCTAATGGGGTTTGATCGCCAGGGAAACGAGCCGCGACAAATGAGAAGATGTCCTAATGGAGGGACCACCCAGCCACAGAGTTTGATGGAGGGGGACGAGACACCCCGGCTCTGCTCCAAATGTGCTTTTTCAGCTTCAAGATGATAGTCTACTGGGGTCTTTTTCAGAAAGTAGTGCAAATCTAATCTGCTGAGTTAAACCAACTACCAATGGGCACTTTAATTCACTTGATTTTAATTTTGGATATTAGCTCTTAGCCAGCAAAAACTGGAATCATCAGAGCAGAACAGAATTGCTAAGAAATGACTTCCCAAGTATTAAAGTGTGTCGAGGATAGGGCCGGTTCTACGTGGCCCCTGTCAGAGGCTTAGCCAGGGAACGTAATTTGCAGATAAATTGGGGAAGGTGGAGAAGTATGAAGAGCTGTTTTCACTAATCCCACTTCACCTTGAAGCAGCTTATATTTTCTCTCATTTGCAGCTCAAATACCACTGCCTGGAAATCCTGTTCCGAACTTTGCTCTTGTTAGTGGCCTATAGAATGAGGAATGGAGCCAAATGTTTTGGCAAAAACACATCCCAAAAAACGGTCAATATAGCAAGGCATGTTTTTGCAGGGGTCTGTTCCCTGGTGCTGCAGAAGACAGGTAATCCACACACAGATTATCTTCCTCTGTCATGTTGCACAGGTGCTGCAGGCTGATAGGACACACTAACAGGCGTCTGTGGAGATGGCGCTCAAAAAAAGCTTAAGATAGACAACGAAACAACAACAAAAGCAAGGCAGCAAGATGTAACTAAACGCCATCATTTTGAACCTTCACTGTCACACAATGCAGCAGAAAGTTGATGCATGCTTTTTTCTTTTTTCTTTGCTTCATATTTCTGGCTCTTGAGTGGGTTGTATTATATTTGCTGTAGGTGTATTGTATTGATAAATTGCGCAAATAAATAAAATAGCACTGATAATGTCATAATGCGAGGTGAAAGAAGTATTCAGATGCTTACTTAAGTAAAAGTACCAATATATTATTGTCAAATAATTACAAGTAAAGGTCCTGCATTCAAAATCTTACTTTAAAGTATAAAAACGAATGATTGTGCATTGTGTTATCTCCCTTTGAAATGTACTGGAGTAGAATATAAATGGAAATACTCAAGTAAAGTACCTCAACATTTTAGGTACTTAAGTACATTAAAATGTAACTCCAAGTACCACCACACCTAGATTGGGACTTGAACTGGAAACCTTTTGGTTCCAAAGCAGCGGCCTCAATTAAAAGCAGACAACCATCCACATGACTGTAACAGCATTTTATTAAATCTCTAGCTCAGTGACTTGACTCTACATATTTATATTCATAGTTCTCATGCTTTACAGGCGGAGCTCATGCATCAGGCCCCACATCTGTTCATGTAAAGTAGTGAGGCTCACCCAGCACCAACATGTGCACCGTTCACTCCAGCTTTACCTCACAGGCAATGGAGAGAAATAACAGTTTCTCCCTTTGGAAACCCCTCTAAAAACCCAGAGGGCCCAATCTGGAGCCAGGAACAGGTCTGCACATGCTCAAAGGTCAGACACATTTTCAGCAATACATAGAAGCAGGAAGATTTAAAAAGAAAACAACTGGTTAAGTATGCCCTGTGTGTGTTTGGAGGAGATTAACAGCAAATAAAAATGACAGAAAAAGGAATTTACAACATTAAAAACACAGTTCTAAATACAAGCTAGATCAGGACATGGAGTAGAGATCATTTTGGTGCTTTGGAGGACACAGGTCTGTTTGGTTTGAAAGAGTTGAACATCACACATCAACACCACATAGAGGCAGATCACAGGAATAAAAAAGTACATCTGAATGAGTGTAAAACAAGAGAGAAAATAAAAAAAGTGTCATCTGCTGACATCTTTGGTGAGCTTTTACTGGTGGTGACAGTGACATCACTCCTGCATCGCTGCATATGGACCATCACTGCTGTTGAGTTTCATTGCATAAGGGTCATGACCCTGATCTAGTGCAACACGACTAGAGAGTTTAATTGGTTTGTCGGATGTGAAAGAGGCTAATCGTACTCAAATGCATCATGACATCACATAGGAACAACTAAACAGTCCAGAGAAAGTTGTGACACCGTTTCAGAGAGCTTAAATGACACATATCTATTCTCAATTTCTACAGAGTGAAGTAATATAAAAATATATGTTATCACTTGTTAATTGATGTTCCTTGACACGTAGATGCTGTGAAAGCAACACCTATTCATTTATTGTTTATTTATTTGATTGTTCATGTTTGTTCCGTTTAATGTGCTGGGGTACTATTTAAATATGTGTTTTAAACTCGATGGATACCTCGTGTTTTTACTGCAAACCAAATCAAAATGACCTGATATTTTTTTGTATTGTGAAAAAAGTGAAGGTATATGACCTTAAAAAACTAATGTATTATGATTCCACTTTAATCCATCCTTATAGTGCCGTCACTTTTAAAATGACACTGTGTAACTTTTAAAGGAGAAATAACACAATGCTCCTTTTAATACATTACATACAAACATGGTGTTTTCCCCTTGGCTCCCATCAGGTACACCTAGACCAAATGTAGCTGTTGAAAAAGCCTTTAAAACAGGAAGCTGTGTGTTATTTCACAGACACATTCACATGCATGCCTTCCTAATGTTGCAGGATTGGGACTCCACATGTTGGGGATCTGTAGAATCGCATTTTAAAGTATTTCCTGTCATTCTAGACTTCTGAGAAGAATGGAAATATGTTTGTAAGAACTGCAGCAAAGCAGAAACAACCCTTAGGAGGACCTTTCCAACGTATCACAACACAGACACACGATGACAAACCTTCTACTGAATCAATTTGGTATAATCACACATGCAAAAGAAATACATCCCTATTTTTATACAAACAAGTGCTAAAGAGTTTCCATTCCCAATGTCTGTTTTTACATATTTAAAGTTGCATAAATTTGTGCTGGCAGAGGGAGGAGCTATAGAGCTTCAGACCAGTCCATGAGGACGCACACGGAGGATTCCCCGTACAGGAAGTGAAGCAGCAGTCTGTTTCCTGTCTCAAGTGTTGAGAGAGAACAGGTCCTGCTCGATGGGTTTCTTCACCCAGGCGCCCAGGCCCGCCTTGTGGAAGGCTTTGAAGAGCGACTGCTTGGCATCGTGGTACTCCACCGCCGCCAGCTTGGCGTCGCTGTAGCTGACGGGCCGCGGCGCGCTGATCCGCAGCGTGGAGGACAGCTGCATACACACAAAGAACACACGTTCGCTGTGAGAATCATCAAACTACATCAGAATCAGTAAAGGATTAAGTTGTCCAGCAGCGAGGACATTTACAACTAACGGACAGTGCAGATAAGAAACTTGACTTACGTATTAGAAAAAGAGGCAAGTGATGATCTCTTACTTTACTATGGTTAAATAAAACATGGGCACAAAATAAAACATATGTAACAAGAATGATTAAAAAGTCACAAAAGCACTAAGAGGATAAATGGTAAATGGACTGATTTGTAAAATGATTCTGTACTGTTAGCAACCACGGAAAGAGCTTTGAAACTTAACACACACTAGTGGCAGAACATAGGAATCAATGCAGCATCATATAAAACATATTATTTACAATTATAAGTATTCATTTGGCAGGTGGGATCTAAGAATCCAACATCCAGCAGATGAAGGAGAAGTCACAGATAAGTGGCTCGTCCTGATATAAAGGTGTGTGAATGAGAGAGGCGGAGTTTGGGGAGGGGGGGTCCCGGGGGGGGTTACCTTGCAGTGCAGGCGCTGCCAGCGTCCGAACAGGGCGTGCTTACAGAGTCTGGAGGGTCTGCTCAGGTCGTCCTTCCCCGTGGTGGCGTTGATCACCTCCAGCCCCGGGTCCCCCACCGTCCAGTTCACGCTGAAGTTCGGAGCTTTCCCCGGCTGACGAGCCTCCGCGTTACTTATACCTGGGGGGGAGAGGGGATGGATTTAACTCACTATTTTTACATCTTTTTATACTCCCATTAGATATTTCAGAGGCAAATAGCGTAATTTTGACCCCACAGTTCATAGCTCACAAAGGAAATTTCGAGTTTATTAATAATGTTGAACAGTCCTAATTTAAATTGGTGATTGTCGACTGGTAAACTTAAAATATTTTGAATTTCCTGACTTCCTAACATACTTTACTCTATCTGCCTGAGACCCTCTCCTCTGCTCTGACCCCCCCTGATCTCCCATTAAACCCTCGCTGCTCCTCAGTGAAGGAGCTCCAGATGTGTGGGGACAGATGATTGGGATCAGGGTGGAGTGTGTCTCACCGCTGAGCAGCGGCTTGTTCAGGCTGAACGACGGGGGCAGCTCCTCCATCTCCGTCACCCTCTGGTACATGGCCCTGGAGAGGTGGTCCGCGTGGTACAGGCTGCCCAGGATGATGCTGGAGAAGTAGATGGCGTCCGTGAAGTAGCTCATCAGAGAGCCTTGGAACCCCACCACGTTCCACCTGGAGGGGGACCAAACACCCATTAGTAAGTCCCAAAAGTTTAGGCAAGGCACGTTTCTTTTTACAGCTCAGATATTCAGAGCTTAATAACTGAACACAGAATGTAGACCCGTCCTGGGTGTGATCTAAAGATTACTACATGATCTGATGTCTACGTTGCTGTTTCAGGAGCTGTTAACGGCTTGGTTGCGATTCATCAAGTGGTCTAATCAAGGCTCCAGCGGGCCTGATGGCCCCCGAGGACCCGAGCTGGAGTGATTGCAGCGCGACACGGAGATCATTCATCCTCTCCACACGTGCACATCCTCATCAGATCCTAGTGGTCTGCTCTAAAACACCCTTCAACACCTAAAGAGTGTCTGCAGGGCAGCAAGGTAAAGATACAGCTGCGTGAGAGGTTATGTTGATTCAACTGCTCAGACTCAAACGGCTTTTTTAGTCCCAGGCACATCGCTACGTAGTGTAGCTGCTGACAGTGTGTGTGAGGGTCGGGTACAACACACACCTGGCGATCTTGTCGCTGCAGGACATGGTGAGCAGCCTCTCCCCCTGCAGGACCCCGTCCCACGTCTGGATGGTGTTGCTGGAGCGCACCGGGATGGTTCCCTCTCCAGACTCGATCTTAGTGCGCAGTTGTCCCCGGGCCTTTCTGTTCGGGTGTCTATCCCCATAATCTGAGGGGGGGGGGGAGAATACACTTTAGATCTTTTGGTTAGCAATGTTCATGTATCTTCATCATAATTCTTCCTGCGTACCCTCTACTCCGGCCTCATGCGGGGAGAAGATGCGAGCGTCTCCACACGGGGACGTGCTGATGTACAGGTGGAACTGCACGTTCTCCTTCAGTCTGAAGCCCTGTATGCTGTCACACCGGATGAAGATGGACTTCTGCTGCTCCTCCTCGTGGTTACTGGAGACACGTAGATTAAGGGAGGTTTGACATGCAGGAGACGAAAAGGGATGAATGAGCTTTATTTTGCTGCATTTGAGACATTTAAATTGGGTTTAAAGTGTTTATAATGTGTGGAGAAGCTCTCTTCTTCAGTAGAAATAAAAACATAAACTGCACAGCTCCTCCACTTTAAAATCTAAGGAAGAAGATCTGGGCCACGTTTGAAAACTTTTCTGAGCCAGACCAAAATCGATTTTTGAGATTTCACAAACATTCTAAATCAAAATTCTGCTTCTTCCTATTTCGGTAAAAACTGTGTGTGGAGTGTGACTGACCTGAGGAAGTGCTCCAGCTGCGAGTACAGGAACCTGATGAGCGAGCGGCGAGCCACGATCTCAGCGTGGCAGTCATTGAGAGCCAGCCCTCTGTCGCTCATGTATTCACCGTTGATGCACTTTGTCCCCGTGGAAATGCAGATCACCTGAGCCTCCTTCACATCGGCACCTGTACGCCAAAGGAAAGAAGTCCTGACATCGTACCTAAAACTGCTGAGTCAGGTGTTTTGTGACCCTCCCCAATGAAAATGCAGCTAAAGACAAATAATGCTGCAGCTCCATTGGGTTTGACTGACACGAAATAAATCACCTGTTGTCATGACGACACCTGACAAAACTTTCCGCCGAGCGTGCGGCGACGTGAAGTTGTCCGTCAGTTCGCCGAACTTGTCGACGACCAGGCGGGAGACGGCGTCTGCCAGAACCTGAGCACCAAAACAAATCAAATGATTATACATGAAGCAAAATGAAATGAAACTTTGAGCAAAAGGTTGAAAATGTGCACTGCGGCTTTTGGGTAATACAAAGACGAAGAGACAACAATGCGATAAGAAGAAAGTGAAAGCTCTTCTTATCTGCCCCGGAACTATTATTGAATATTTCAATTAGGAAAGCTGCACTGGTGTGGATGACAGGCAGGATGTGAGCGGCTTAGAACAGATCCTCTGTTTCACTCATTGCTCTGGAAGTAAAGCGGAGAGACTGCTATAATGAGCAGCAGTGTTTGAATAGCACTCACAGGGTGATGCTAATTAAGATAGCAGCTGTCTTATCAGTGTGCATGGATTACAGCCGGGGATTAGCCTATGTGTAAATAGATTCCCAGTGAATTGGACTTGTCTCTCCTGAAGCCGTCTTCACTCACACTCTGTCAGGTTGGCTACGAACAAGTATCTCGTAAGACGACAGATCTAACCTGGGAGCTACTGTCAAATCACGACATGCCTCAAAACTGCTTTATGGTTATTTGCCGTCTGGTAAACCACTAAATATGAGGTTAACTTGCAGAGTTGGCAGACCACATGTGCAACACATCTGGATAATGGACAATGTAGATTTGTAGGTAATAGTATTGGGAAACCCACATTATCGAACGTTCACTAGTCCCAGTTTGCGGGTTTATAAAATAAGTAAGGAAAGTAACGGGGCCTTTCAACACTCATTAACCTTGGTCCCTGCTTACCTGAGGCAGGTGCAGCTGCAGTCCCTCTCTGGGTATGGGCTGTCTGGACGGGGCCTGGTCCAGCTGCATGTTGAACAGAGCGGACAGAGCAGCCTGCGCCGCCCGGGCCTTGGCCAGCTTCTTGTTCCGCCCAGAACCCTGGAAGTTCTGCCCGTCCACCGTCACCGACATGACAAAGTTCTTGGCGTGGCTCTCCCCGCTCTCTGACACAAAGTCGTACTTGAGGCCCGGCCGCAACTCGTTGAGGATCATGACAGGGTTCTTGCCGCTTGTAGGGGACATGTAGGTAGAGGGGACTGGAGGTAAGGGGGCCTGGATCAGGTTCGGGACGGGGGAGGGGAGCAACGGGTACTCGACTCCCAAAGAGCTGAAGGAACCGTTGCTGTTGGACGTGAGATAAAAGGGGTCATCTGCGGGGGGGGATGTCTCGAAGGCGTTAAAGAGCATGTCTGGGAAGTCGGCCTGGTCCGAGGTGAAGTCCGTGTGGACAGACAGAGTCCGGCCCATGGCCATGTGGGCCTCAGAGGCGTTGGGGAACTGGACGAAGGAGCGCAGGGCTTTCTCTGCTGCGTTCAGCTTGGCCTTCTTCTTGGTGGAACCAGCGCCCTCGAAGAACTGCCCGTTGACCTCCACCGTCATCACGAAGACGGGAGCGTGGACCGGCCCGGTCTGAGAGAGCAGTTTGTACTGCAGCCCCGGCTTGATCTCATTCAGCTGCATCAGGGCGTTCTTAGGCAGAATGGGCCCGGGGATTTTCTTACGCTTCTTGGGCTTGTACTTGGAATGTGCATGCCCATTATTGCCCTCCTCTAAGGGACGTTTCCTCCCACCCCCAGCACTCCCATTGGGGAGTTGAGCAGCCTCAGCCGCAACCCCCTCTTTGGAGAAGAGGTTGTCCAAGTTCCGATTTTCCTTAACATCTGTGCTGCATGAACCTGCGGTGCCCAGAAAGAGTAACTTACAATGCCTTCGTTGCAGGATCTTGTAAATGTAAAATTTAGAGATTCCTTTACCTTTCTTTGCAACTGAACAAGTGATGTGTGTTCCTTAATTATTATTTAAATATAATGTATAGAGGCAGTTTAGCTTTTGGTACAAGTGTATTCTAAACACATTCATATGTCAATGAGGATGTTTCACACAAACATAAGTAATTACAAATGTATAGAAAATTATGTAAATCGTCATTTAAAGACTTCCCCTAAAACCTTAATTAGCATGCAGGCTATTTCTATACTCATATTTAGCAAACTAAAGGATAAACTATTTACACCAGGAGCTTTGAGAACATATTTCTACATGTCTTTATCTGGACGATGGTGTGTCTTGGGAACACATATCACCCGGCCCTGTTAACAAAGCTGATGGAACTTAATGTAAACTTCCATTTATAACATCCTTCAGCAAAAGCTCGATAGGTTACTCCTTTCGGTTCTCAGGACAGAAAACAATCCTATAAGACGCAGGTTTAGAGAGGTTGTGGGGAGAGATGGAGGTGTAAACAAGGGGTGTCAACTTTTCCAAAATAATGCAGTACTTCAACTGAGCCTGAAGAGAAACACCAGAGAAATTATTCACTTTTAGAATCTAAAACCAGAGAAAAACACTTGAGCAGGAGCAGGGAGTGGATTATTTGGATAAAAGACAACAGAAAAGCTGCAAAAATACATATTTGTATATACAAAATTAATCAAATGTCTTATTCTATTTCAGCCCTGGTTTTAGCAGCAGGTTATCAAAATCTTTCATTCACAGTTCTTCTTTCTCTCTTTACAATACTGACCGACTGAACATGGCCGATACACTTAAAAACAATCAACCAAACTGCTGTGAAATGTTCACAATGTTCCCGTTTTTAATCAACTGACTTGTTTAGCCACATTTAGCATTGTTTTCCATTTGAAATGACTTCCTCTTAAACCAAAGAGTGCAGTGCTTGCACAGAGTTTTGTCGTTCAGTCACAGCCAGATGCCGACTGCAGGCAGAGTTAATAACAAGCGTGCCGGAGGGGGACGGAGCTGAAACATGAAAAAACACAATAGCAGATAATGCCTTGAGCAACCAGAGGGGGGGGGGATGATTATAGGTCTGCTGGGAACGTACTGTTATTGTTGCTCAAAGACAATCACTGAAGCAGAAACAGACCCTTTATCCATTAAAAAGTGAATTCACTGGGCTGCAAGGTCAATGCTTCCAAATGTGCCTTGGCCTGTCCAATTGAGATATCAACACGTTACCTTGCATCTGAAATGTCTTCTACGTGACTTCCTGTTTAGGATGTTAGGCAAGCAGCCCTTGGATAACCTTGAGCAACTCTCCCTACACTCGGCCATAATCCACATGTTCTCCCCATGCTTTCACTTTGGCTTACATGCAGCAGGGACAGGATTACTGCTGTGCCAACACAAATCAAGAAAGTGTTTAAAGAGGCCTGTCAGTTAGCATCGGCAGCACCGGTCACGATGCTAAACGGGCTATCTGGACCCCAACAAACAGACTCCCTTCAGCCTGACAAACAGCCCCTTTCTGAAAACGCTACGTTGAAGCTTGATCCTATCACTTTTGCAAATAAATAGCCGACTTATCAAACCTTTTCCCTGTGATCGAGCTTTCAACAGGCACCTGAATGGAGTGCGATGAAAGGAAAGCTGTTTGTTGATTTGCTTTGCCCTGCATTAACTTCACTTGGAATCTGTCCTTTCCATAAAATCCCATCGAGGCTTATCGTGGGTCAGGTGGTGTTAGGGCTGAAATAGACCTACCTTATAGAGCCTCAGAGGGGGCTTTAGGGGGCTTTTTTTGTTTAGACCAAAGGGAAAAGCTGAGAAATGTGCCATCAAAGTGGAGTGAAAGCTCACAGTAGATACACCCTGACCCTGGGATTAAGCTCCGACCTCCTCCTGAGCTGGCCAAAAGGAATTGGACGGTATATTTTCCCACAGCAATGCAATGCACCATGGGTATTTCCCTCAGGATGTGTGCTTCCTTTACCTACATGCATGCATCTCGTACACAACCTGGACAGTATGTAATAAAGCATGAATGTACACGTGGGTCACTCACTCATGCTTTTGACTTGCCCCCCCTCAGTGGTGGGCAGCCTCTGTTGGATTGGAGCGGTCCGATCTCCCACTCGACCTGAAGGGCACACAGCACATGGTTATCAGTGGTGGAAAGTACACTTTGAAGGTATTCAAAATCAGTAGATCAGTCCTTCCATCATGCTGTCACAGTTAGCGCTGCAGATGTCTATACAAACCTTTAGAATACATGGCACTTCTCCTTTGCTCGTATGTCACACCTCATCACCCAGCTCACCCTCCACCTCCACCTTCCTACTCCTGTCAGACAGGTCCTCGTCTGTCTGCTGATAAGACACCAGGCTGATTATTTCCTGTGTTTTAATCAGGAAACTGTCACTCAGCACGCCATCTGTGCTAATAAACAAACTGAGGCCGGCAGAAATGACGCCATCATTATCTTTGATTAACTAAGATGTGGGCTGTCAGCAGGGGTCTACTGGACCAACCTCAAAATGGTGTTCCCACTTTAAGATTCTTTCATATCAGAAGACCTCATAAAGTCACTACTGTATGTGCATATGTTTTTTTTGTCCCTGTTGAAAGCCATTTATGGAAGTGTTTGTTTTTCTACAGAGAAATGAGTCCTAAAACCCGGAGATAAGTTGGCATTTTACGCCTTCCTGTTCGATTCCTCCTCAAAGGTTTTTTTGTCCTACATTTAAACGTCATCACTTCTCCACTCTTTACTCAGCTAGCTCAATTCAAGCTAATGAAATCTGCCTTCCTTTGGAAAAGGAACAGAGGCTGTTGGGAAAGGCTTCGCGCTCGCTGTGTAATCGCTCTCTGTCGACAGATATGTCCTCCTGCCCCGCTGCCACTCAGCTGTTGGCTCCTCACATTAGAAATGACAACGTTATCAGGCTGCTGCCGCCGCTCTATTGTGCAAGACGGCAGCAAGGGGAACATGGCTCAGGTTCTCCAGATAGTGCGGGGAGCAAATGAACTCAGAAGTAAAATGCCAAGAAAAGGAGTTAATCGAGGGTTGTCACAGAAATGTAAAACTTTTGAGTGTTTGTATTATTCAGAAACCCTGTTTACCTCATTATACATCTCACAAACTCTGCTTTATCTCACCCAGACAGTGTTTTATAGGCTTCAAGTTGTAAATGTTTCTTCTGTTCCTACAATAAGGGATAAGGATAAGTGGACATCCCCACTGTGTTGCATGATGGGAGAATACTGTTGAATTTCCAGATCATCAGACTTTTATCATACAGCATGAAACACTTTTTGTTGAGCATTTTTACAAAGCGCCGTCTCCAAATTGGAAAGATAAACAACGTGCAGAATGGGAAGTGGCACGTATGTTAAAGGAACCCGTGGCCTCCCATGCATGGCAAAGGGAGAATACGTTGATCAGATAAGCAGGAAAGAATAAATCTATTTACGCTGCGTAGTGCCACACTCCTGCCTCGGATCATGCATCACAGCACTAACAACCACCCACACTGATGCTGTGTACACTCCAACAACAGCAGTAGCAGGAACAGGAGAATATGAAATTGAAGTGAAAACCAATCAAGAAGCAACAAAGCAGACATGTTTAGCTCTCTCCTCTGAAGAAACCTAACATTATATATATCCATGTCCTATGTTTTCCTCGTGTGCAGCCCTAAGGAGACCCCATCAACAAGGAGAGAGAATCTGGACCACGGCCATCAGCGACTGAGCTGACAGTGATAGATGGATTTCAGAGACTATTTCTGGTGCTTGAGGCGAGTTACAATCAGAGCTAGGGGGGGGGGGAACAACTGCAAACAGCTGTCAGAGAACTCTTTTAGCGACCTAATGTAGACGGATTGATGCTGAGGAGAAGCAGACAGCGAAAAGGGAAAAAATGGTGGTCCCAAACATGTGATGGAGACAAAAAGAAAAAAACGTTGTTGTCCACAATGCTTTTCTCACACACAAACTCCAGTTCAGCCCCGTGAAATGACATTTTGAGGCGTGCAGAAATTGGAGGTGATGAGATGATGGATGAGGAGGGACGGAGCAGAAACTCTAGGATGTATCGTAGAGTCACAGCAGAAGGGAACATGTGTATTCCTTTAGTTCAAAACACGTGGGGCTAACATTCATCCGTTAATCAAATAATTGTAAAGTTGACATTTCGACAGACTACTATGCCACAATTAAGTCATTTCACGTTCACAGGCTTCTGGAGTTGGATTGAAATGTGACATTTACAGCAGATTACAATACAAATCACAACAGGTCTACGTGATGTAAAACCACCGTATTCAATCAGAGGAAATAAATTAATAAGGCTACTCATACATCACTGTTCATTTATGCTAAAAACAAATTATGAAGACCTAGAGGTATTTGACTCTCCACATATCTGTATGTTTGAGAAACGTTGGTAAACTGTTTAAACAGCAAAGTTGCTAGAAAATAAACCCCTCACTGCTCCCCAAGGACACTTGCATGCGTCAGCCATCTTTCTATCATTCCCACTGTGAAATCTATGTGACGGCTTGTATTTGCTGAGTGGTCCTGGCAGTACAGTAGCTGCAGGCCCACTGCTGTATCAGTTCCACGCACTAATACCACCAGTGTTCTGACCAGGTATTTGTGTTGCTGACAGCAGACTGTTCACACCACTGTAGCGCCCTCTCACCGGGGGCCAAGGAGAAGAGGTGAAGCAATTAGGAGGATTATCTACTTCCATACTGCAGCGGCCAGGCAGACAGAATGCTGGGACAGCGCATTGTGAATGAAGCCTCGGGGCCAATAACCACAGGAGTCACATGTGGAATTAATGTCAGGGTCATGAGAAGTTAGCTGGAAGTGAGCACCACACTCTTTAAAGATACACAGAGATTCTCTGAGTGCACATATGTGTGACAGATGAGTCTGTATACTTCGAACACTCCCCAAAACTCCAGGGGAAAAGGAAAATGCTGAATGGTACAATGAGAGTCAACAAAGAGACTATCAATGGAGCACATTCCCTGACACTGATACCTGGAGAAGCTCCATAGGGTCAGCCGCCACCCCTTCCCTCTCTTTTTTTACTGGAGTTCAACTTCTCTTCGGATAATGGTTCAGATGGGACATTTGGGGCTTGCTTGGGGGACTAAGCTCTGAAGCTCACACATCTGGAAGACCAGTGACCACCAAGTGACCAGGACCAGGACAAATGAAACACACGTTCTCAGTCTTACAACTTGACCGAGAAACATGCATCCCATCCTTTAGAGGTGAATACAATAGTAAAAAAGATACTATAGCCACTACCAGAACGTGTTATGACTGCATGTAAGCTGTCTATAACTCCAGCTGTGAATACAGATATGTAGCACTGAGATATTTCCCTGCATGCCTCAGGGCTCTTTGCCTGTCTATTAAGCACAACTGTGCCAGTTTCCCCCCCCCACCCAACCTCACTGCTTGCCTAGCACACACTCGCATTTCCATTTAACGCTTTTATCACAGGTAGCCCTGCCTCCTGGGCCTGAAAATGGTTGCTGGGACACGGAGACATGCACGCTGAGGAGCCAGTGGAGCAACAAGGTTTAGAGCGGGACTACATCTTCCTACTACTCCCATTTGGGGAATGGAAAATAAATGATTTGCTGCCTAATTGAGTGATGGACAACACAGTGGATTCCCTGGAAGTCCACAATTACATACATACAAACAAGTATGTGTAGCAGCCAAAACCTTTGAGCTTCGTCATTTTTCCTGACTTTCTTTTTTTTCATATGGTCTCAGAAGGTCTGCCTGAGAGACCCTCACCCTCGCTGACCCTCCTCCCCCCCATTCTCTCTGCATCACTGGCCCCGCCGCGCACAACAGATGGCTATCACTGTTCTCTGCACCCCAGTCAGGGCCAGGCCAGCAACCTGCTATCTCCCAGTTGGGGCTCAGGGCTGATGTTGAATTTCACACCCCATGGCATCAGGATTAGCCAGAGCCGGAGCTGATGGACAGGCAGGTGGAGGTGCAGGGTGGATTTATGGATTTATGGACGTAATGTCATTTCGCCCGGCATGTTCGTTCGATTAGTACTTCCACTATTTGGAAGAGAGTTACCCAGCTGTGAATGCCAGTATGCAAATCCTACCTGTATTTAGTTACAAAGCTGTCAAAGCTGTGCTGAAGCTCGCTTGAAGAAACCAGCAGCCTGTGGTCAAACACAGATCTTCTGGAGGGAAAATGGCTCTGCATATTATGGAAAAATACCGTAGCTACAGTAAGGTTTGGAGGTAAGATTGTGGTGGTGCACCAATTGGAAGGTGGGTGGTTTCAATCCCCTGCAGTCAACATGTTCAAGGGTCCTTGTTCAAGATACTGAACCCCAAATGGCTCCAGAAATGGCATCATTTGTGAGGATAAATGGCTGAAGAATCCCAATGATGATCCATAAAGTTAATAAGTGGAATATTTACATGTTCACCTAAGGACATGCTTATGACGTTTTACTACTTTTTGCATCATCAAAGAAAGTGTTTTATGGATCTGCTGCTGCCTTTGTATTTCATTATGATGAATCATTTCCTGTTGATCTGGAAAATGTGACAGCCGACAGGAACATTTCACCCTGGAGACAAACACGGTTCATCTTCCTCTGATTTGATCTGATACGATGAGTGCATTTTAAATACAAATCTTGCTTCAATTAAGAGTCAATATGAAAGACAGGTGTTGCCTCGATGCTCGGGAGCTGCCTCCTGCTCCACCTGTGTGATGGGGGGTGGTGGAGCCTGAGGAGAGGGTGGGTTATCAGCAGAGCCTCAGGGCGGAGGTACGGCGGGGGGGGGGGGGGCTGTATCACAGATCTGCGGTTTTGGGCCGACAGACACATCCCTTAGCAGCGTGCCGTCCACGCCTCACAGAGCACATCGGCTTATACCTCGTCTGAAATTCACTTTTGCTCCCAGTAGATTAAACTCACACTTCAGTTCATCTCACAACACCTCGCTTAGCAGGGACACGGAAATGATGGGCTGCTCTCTCGCCCCGCATGCAAAGTATGTACATTCCTTTACACATTAATACTGTTTAGCACACTCCCCATGAATAACACTTAGGACAAATTGAATATTCCCG